AATTATTCATAATAACCGGTGATTATTCATAATTTTCACATTTATCACTTTGACCGTAACATAGATATTAGTATAGACTAGTATAGGAGAAGAATCCTAGACTGCATTCCACTTAACATCAGGTGCGATTGTGGTGAAACACCTGCCTTGTTATGCATAAAAAAAATAAATAAAAAAAGTATAGACAATATGAAGTATAGATGGTATAGATTAAAGTTAGAGACAGTGACGACTAAGTGATCTGATGATGATGATGACTTGAAGTAGGTACCACAGCTTAGTGAATCCAATAGGAACATTTTATAGGTCTGAATTAAATCACGTCTTGGAAATTTCATCGCAGTATTAAATATTGGCATTCGGGGAAGTGGTGGTGGATAATAATAATTGCAAAAGTTGTGATCGTGACTCGGTTGCGGCAGTGCCTTATTGCTGGGGATGTAGTTTGATTATTCCGTGCATGGATAGCTAATGTTTTTATTATTGATCTTAGATTAATAAAGTTTTGATAGATAGATATTTATAGACCGTTTTATCCACGAAGACGCGCCCCACCATTCTTCCGCTTATATTTCATACTACAATAATGACGCTCGGATTGCTCGGATCAAACTCCCCGCACCCGCACTTCTCTTGACCATAAATTGGTGGGCCGCGTCTTCGTGATTGAAACAAAGTACACACTAATAGTACATAAGCGCAAAAAAGTGTAGCTCTTCAAACGAGACCACTGGCTAAGCTTATTTCTCATACGTTTTGACGGTTGACAACGTCTAACAGTAGTGTCAAACGTATGTGATGACGTCATTATTTGGAAGGTATGATTTGTGCCTCACTTTAGACGAAGCGCTTGTATGAAGACTGTCCATATAATTATAACTTTTGAGAGGCTAAATATTGTTTCAAATATTTATGTAACAGCTTGTTAATGTTACAATGGTTACTTTTGTATAAATTCCATTGCGTGGTTAAAACTTTATTGGAAACTGCTCAAAACTAACAAATAATTGAACAATCGAACTATAAATTGCTCTATTTCCCAATTTTGGGACTTGTTACCGTTTGTTTGCTCCTACCCGGGATTAATATCAATTACCTTCTAATCCCAGTTCGAGCATTATCTGGGGATTGGCTTTTGATCGCAAGGCATTAAAAGTTACATTGAGTTAACAAATATTTAANAAACACAGTGAGATCTTTGTGTTGGTTGATGAACTTACTTTGTTACTGGCGAGAGAACAATTTCCTAAGAAATTTGTAAGTGCGTTAAAATGTAAATAATAAATTACATTTACATAACGGTTTAGGCCGTGCCGTTATTTTGCGTAGTAGCCAATTCTGTTTAATTAATATAAAAGCCAAGATAGAATTAAATTGAACAAAAAGTTAGACTTATTGTCTCTTATTCAGTAAGTGTGTGATTCTATCATTGAAGTAATATTACTACGTATAGTACATTATAACTCAATGGATTCTATAGACGTATTTGGCGACAGAAATTCAATATGTTGATTGAACTTCCTAATCATCATCATCATCATCATTTCAGCCATAGGACGTCCACTGCCGAACATAGGCCTCCCCCAATGCTTTCCATGTTGATCGATTGGTAGCGGCACAGATAATATAATACTAGTGTAGCGGCCTGCGTTCAGCGCTTCCCTGCTACCTTTACGATGTCGTCGGTCCACCTTGTAGGTGGACGTCTCACGCTGCGTTTTCCGGTACGCGGCCTCCATTCCAGAACCATTCTGCCCCATCGGTCATCAGTTCCGCGTACTATGTGCCCTGCCCATTGCCATTTCAGCTTGCTAATCCGTCGGGCTTTGTCAGCGACTTTGGTTCGTTTACTTCCTAATGTGAGGCTTTAATTCTAATCTTACAATATAACTTCGAATCTTTGTAATAGAAAAAATGTGTATTAGGAAATTTTTCTTTGTGTCACGTGCCTATGACTAAGCCTAGGCGCAGACCACCGACTTTTTGTCGGCCGATAGTTGGGCCGATTCTAATTTGTATGAAGAATCGGCCGATACCAAATCGGTGTAATGTGTGCACTCTCATACATCTCCATACTGATTACTTACTTAACAGCCCGACCCAACTATCGGCCAACTAAAAGTCGGTGGTTAAACATTGCATTTACGAGTTATTCACTCCGAACTTTTTTTCCTTTGGGTCAAGGTGGGGAAGTAAATAAATATCGGATATTTGGACACAAAAATAAATATTTGTGCCAAAGGGAACATCCTGGTTGTATGATCTTGCTTGCTGACTCAACATTGTGTGAATTTTGATACACACGTGCGTAAGAGTCACCGCAAAAATGACGGCAGTGGAAAATAGTTCCCACCATATTTTGAACTTTTTTCCCTTGTATAAGGTCCAAAAACAGTGAATAATTTAGATTTGTTGTGCCCGTTAAGGGCTTATTAAAGTTAAAGTCAGGAGCTTTAACTTACCTACAGACTTGGAAGGGCAAGACAGGTAACGTATATTTTAAATTTAATTTTGCATATGAAAAACTTAAAAAATACCTACAAAAATAATGTAAAACATATTTTCTTATTTAATTTAAAAAAATGTTTTGATAAAATAAAAAAATATATCAAAAACGTTATTAATATTATTAATAATAATAGTTGAATAAACTCACTCGTGTGTCTGTGTAAACTACATAATCTCAACAACGCTATATTGTGATTATTTCACGTTAAGTGTATACTTATTTATTGACCTACTTTATACAAGACTGACTTAAACAAATTAGTGATAAAATAACTATGAAGAGAAATTTTTTTATAATGGGGCTTGAAATTACTTTACAAAATTGAATTTATAAAACGTAGCATAATGTTATTTGTGACCAGTCTAATATTTTTTTTCTGTAAATATACAAATTCATCAAAGTATCTTCTGTGGGCAAAAATAGCAAATTACAAATTGAAAAAAATAGGCCGCTACCAACCGGGTGATGTGGAAATCATTGGTAGAGGCCTATATTCAGCAGTGGACGTGGCTGAAGTGATGATGATGATAATAAAAATAATAACAAAGGGGTTTTGCATTTGAACCTAAGTAGGTAGAATCTATGGGTATTCCTTTTGTTGAGTACCTACTACCAAAGTATTGGTAGAGAGAAATGTTATTTTTTGCCGTTTCTAGGTTTTCTTAGCTCTACCGCATAACTAATCTCTGCTGATAAGCTTAATAAAATCACATGACCTGAAGAAATCAGTAATTTTACTAGTACGAGCTAGTATTTTTGTTTTATTGTTATTTCTTAGCTAGGCTAAACGAAACCTCGATAACTGCGTATTTTTTGTATAAAAGATATTTTGTAAAAGTAACTTAATTGCACGAAGACATAGTCTGGGTAGGCCTCCCACTAGGTGGATCGACGATCTGTTGAAGTTCACGGCAAGTGCCTGGATGCGGCAGCGCAGGACCGGTCTTTGTATAAACCTTGGGGGAGGCCCAACTTTGGATGTCCTTTGGCTAAAGCTTTCATGAATATTTTCCATCTCTTTCAGAGACAACCATGATTGCCCTCCTCATCATGCTCTCAATATCATCATGCTACAGCCAAAGACCTTCTTACGCTGGCAGTAGACCCATTGGATACCCTGTGATTGAAACCACTGCCAGAAGTTCTTCTGGCAACCCTGATCTACCGCCACAGTTAAAAGGAGACCAGGCATATGCCGATCAGCTCAGCAAACTGCCGATTGATCAGCAGCTATTTTGGTTCATAAATAAGCAGCATTATGACGAGCTAAGAAAACACCCGAAAAGCTATCCGGAAAGGCCAAGTATTTTCAATGAGTATAACCAAGGATAGCGTTTAGTTCTGAGAACAAGATTATGAAAATAAAATTTCGACATCACTTGGACACGTGTTTGTGTCTATAGTGATACTATGAGTGAACTCATTTCATTCATTATCTCATGATGACCATGAGTGAACGCATCACTTACGTACTACATATCTGTGAGCTAGTGGTACGATTTTATTTGGCCTCGCTTCATTAATCCCAGACTTACGCCCGTATTCACAAACATTACTATGATGTCTCACAGTGCGCGTGGACGCACAGGGTGACACACGAACCAATCAGAGAGCTCTATTCAACGCTGTGCGTTCGATTAGCTGCTTCACTTAAGCAAGCATCGTGTGTGAATACGGGTGTCAGTCTCGATTTAGAACATTCTTTTCGGTTTCTGTCATTCTTTTCCCCCTTACAATAAAAAGTTAAACTCGCGTTGATCACTAGTTTAAACTGACATTTAGAATGAAAATGTAATTTTTTTATGCAGAACGAAGCAAGTATTTGACTGCAGTCACACCTGTATGTAGTCTAGTATGGTAGGTACAGATCTAAGGCCCTGTAAGTGCCTATTTACTCTTTAAACAAGTGTTCAACGCCCGCTTAAAAGTTAAAACTGTGACGCCCGTATTCACAAACATTACTATGAGGTCTCACAGTGCGCATGGACGCACAGGGTGACACACGATCCAATCACAGAGCTCTATTCAATGCTGTGCGTGCGATTTGCTGCCTCACTTAAGCAAGCATCGTTTGTGAATAAGGGCGTCAGTCTCGATTTAGAACATTCTTTTCGGTTTCTGTCATTCATTTCCCCCTTACAACAAGAAGTTAAACTGATTAGATCATTAGTTTAAACTGACATTTAGTATTTTTTTTATGCAGATCAGAACAAAGCAGATATTTTACTGCAATCACACCTGGATGCAGTCTAGTATGGTAGGTGCATACCTAGGTCATGTAGTGCCTATTCACTCTTTAAACAAGCGTTCAACGCCCGTTTAACTTTATAATAAGGCACTTTGAGTTTACGTTGACGACTCTACACATTGCTAACTCCATCGCATAACAAACATCTCTGGCGATAAGTACAGTCAACAGCATCTCAAACTGTACACATTGCTGAATAATGACACTTATTACGACTACATAAGAGCTACAGAATTGACATGAATGCCGCCGTCGGTATATGCATTGATGCGCCCTGAAAATCGCTATAAATATTGGCGATAAGTTTACCACTACACATTGTGGAACTGTGGTTGTGACTGTGCACTTGTGATATTATTGAAATCAACAGGTAAATAATAATTAGTTTTTTAAATACCCGTCAGCATTTAACTGGTAGGTATTAACGGAATGTAACACTTAATTAGTTTACAATATTTATGAAAAAGATAATTTTATTTATAATTGATAAACTGCACACAAAACTGATTACTGGAACTAAACGACATTGTAATTTAGCTGCCTTATTAAGAAAATCTTCTTCAAATAACACAGAAAGGGGATAATTATTGTCTGAAAAAGGGCTAATCTCTACCTACAGAATATCGAAATAATTAAAATAATATTAAACTCTTATTTAATCCGCTTATTATAAATCAATCAGATTTGATTGACGTTATTAGAAAAAAATATAATTTCGTAATACAAAAACGGGGTTTAATGGATTTTCGATAATATAATTAGTAAGGATCATAAAGATTAGATTAAATAAGTGTGAGAATGTAGAGAAGAATCGTTACCTACTTAGTTTACAATCAAGCACATCTGCCTCAAAATTGTTGGAGAAAAATTGCACCTAATACAAATATCTCTGGCCTCCCACTAGGTGGTCTGACGATCTGGTGAAGGTCGCGGGAGGTGCCCGAGAGGATTTTGTCCAGTAGTGGACGTCTTTCGTCTGAAATTCTACAGTTTAAGCTCAATTACAACTAGTGATAAAACCGAGCACAACAGACTTGACAGTGCTTTCTTCCGACTGCTTACTTATATAATAAATATTTTTTTCATCCAGATGCTGACCATGATTGCCAAATACCTGATACTCCTCTCAATAGCATCGCTATGCTTCTGCCAAAGGCCTTTCTACGCAGGGAAAAGACCAATTGGGTTCCCTGAAATTATAACCGATGGAAACGCCAACAATATCGGATCAAGCGAAACCAAGCCTAGCCATGAAAAGCCAAGCTACGAAAGACCAAGTCTCCCACCACAACTGAAGGGTGATCAAGGGTATGCCGACATACTCAGCCATCAGACGTTGGATCACCAGCCGTTTTGGTTCATAAATAAGCAGCAGTACGACGAGTTTAGAAAACATCCGAAAACTTACCCACAGAGGCCTAGCTATTTCAATGATCATATTCCAGTGAAACATTATAGTTAAATCTTTAGAAAGTGTTATAAAAATGCTTGTAAATAACATTCCTTTATTGTATTTTAGAGGCTCTAGAATTCCAGCTCGTTTATACGAAAACTGACAAACACATTGTAGAGAAATTTTGTTACAACTATTGTTATTTTGTTAAAATAAATAAATTATTTTTTATGATCCGTAAAAAAATTGTAAATTAAATTAATTAGCCTTCGCCGCGCCCCTACACTGTTCATTTGATTTGATAAGTTAAAATGAAAAATAATATAATTTTTCATTAAAAAAACAAAAAATACTGCCTCAGGCGGGAAATGAACCCTCGGTCTTTCATTTGCCAGGCCACTTTGATCATGAGTACTGAAAGGTCATACGTGTCCAAAACACACATTAAAAGTCCATAGACAACACGGATGAACACGTTCGGGCCCCGATTCTAAGGCTGGGTTGCACCATCTTACTTTAACTTTGAAAAACGTCAAAAATCTGTCAAATTCCATACAAAAAGCACCGGTTATCGTCATAGTTACGGTCAAAGTTAGGTGGTGCAACTCGGCCTTAGTAAAAATATTTCTATCCGTTCACTGTATTCCCAAATGTTTGAACAAATCATTTGCAAGTTTTTGTGATCCTACCTTAACATGATTCTAAGAGTTACCAGGTGTTACTTGTTTAAGTGTAACACTAGGTGCCACCAAATATTTGACCTACTATGGTGTCATTTTGACATTCTGCTATTCGAATTAATCAATTTAAAAGGCGATAAGTAGGCTTACTCAAAAGAATAATGTTAATGTTCAGTAAACAGTGATAATAAGAAATGTTGTTAGCTTCATAAAATAAAATCTTGTAATGATAATGTATGAGTTTTGTAGTGTCAGTCAACTGTGTAAAAATACTTCATTAATTAATTACATTTTAGACGAATCATTTGTGATTATTCATTTTAGTTACAAATCCAAATGAATAATATTCAGCTAAGTAAAACCCAAAGTGGCCGACATAGCTCGCAGAACTGCTAAAATCAAGTGGCAGTTGATGAATCATCTTAGAGACGATGGCCGTTGGGCCAGAAAAGCTCTCGACTGGCGACCACGGGCTGAAAGACGTAGCGTGGGCAGGCCTCCTACAAGGTGGACCGACGATCTGGTAAAGGTCGCGGGAAGAGCCTGGATGCGGGCAGCGCAGGACTGTGCATTATGGAAAACCTTGGAGAAGGGCTTTGTCCAGCAGTGGACGTCATTTGGCTGAAACGAACGAACGAACGAAGTTAAACCCAAAATATTGAAATCGTAACGAACCCATAATCTAAGTTTGCAAGGTTCAGTTCTAGTCTAGCACCTGTTCATATTATCATCCAGAATAAGTATAAAGTAAGTGATTTGCAATCATTATTTTGTTGAATGAAAATTAAATCAAGTTCAAGATTGCAATTTCCTTAATAGCATTACAATTAAAAGTCGTTAATCAAGAACTTTGTTGCGCCTGAGATTTATTGTTTGGGAGCAAACAAATAAATGTTTGCGACTTTACGCCCTGAATCTTAAGCAAAGGGACAATATAATTAATGGTATTTAGTATCTTTGCCAGTTTTAACAGCGGCCTGGGACAAATAACCTAGAAGTCATTAATTATGGTAGTTTTAAGACTTGTTTTAAGTAGTATCTTATCTTCTTTAGGTAAGTAATTACTTTTGGTTCTGTAGGCTAAATAAATAATACAGTAATAAATAAATATCCTTGGTCATTTACAACGCCTCTAGCCCCAAACTAAGTAAAGCTTTAAAAGTACTATGGGTACTAGACAATGGTAAATAATGTGACTGGTGTTGCTGATAGATAAGATAGTGCACTGGTTCCAACAAAGTAGAATAGAATCTCTCCCACTCTTCCCTCTTCCTCGTAGATGTCGTAGGAGGCGACCAGGGAGAAATATGCGAAGATCCAATCGTCCAACCCTGCTAGCACCAACAGCAAGCGTAGAAATTGTAGGGTAATTCCTCCAATTGCCTCAGGTACGAGTAAGACTAATTGACCTGATGGTGATGATGTAATTAGGGCATAGGCCTCAACTTAACTGCATAACGTTGGTGATCGCTACCAAAGCGCTGCCTCCACTGAGACACGGGCGGGACAAACTTGACCTCCACTGGTTGGGTTTTTATTGGCGGTGAAACTGTAGATCCTGGCTACACAGAAGTTGCAGCGGTGGGAACGAGAGGTGGGAATAGTCCCGTGCCTCCAGTGAGCTACAAGCAACTCAGAAACTACGAGTAGGTATGATAAAAGGAAAGAAAATTATGGCTATGTAATTTTAATCAAGCTTGGTTATAATTTAGATTAAGTACTGCAAAACAGACACTATGTCCAGGTAAACACAGTGACATCTTACATAGTTGAAATAGGAGTTATTTTGCAACAAAAATAGTCTTATATCTGAAAATTATAAATAACTTGAAAAAATCGAACTGCCTAAGGCGGGAATTGAACCCACGACCTTCCGCTTGCCGGGCGACTGCTCTTCCAACTGAGCTACTTAGACACTGGATGAACCCGTCGAAATTTTCAAGTGTAATACGCTGTTACGGCCAGCGTTTGCCAGTCTTATATCCACTGTACATTTGATCCATTTCCTGGCCAAATATAATAAAGTATACCACTTATTTGTCTAAAGTACTTTCGTGAGATGAGGGTTCCGTTCCCAATAAATGTTGTCAATTTGGAAAAATAATGATGGCTCTTTCTTCCCCTTCCTTAAGCCGGGTACTCACTAGCGAGCTGATACAAGTGCCTGATCTATTACAAGATTAAATTTCCCAACTCTGAAATTGACTGTGAGACATTGACGGTGCATGGGGAAAGAATGGCACATGACATTAAGTTCGCCTTTTGTACCTTGTTCTATGTTGTAATAAAGTTTAAATAAATTACGGCCACTTGGTAGATTGATCACCTAGTGAAGGTTACGGATAACGCTTGGATGCGGGCAGCGCAGGATCTGTCATTGGAAAATCCTTGGGGGCCGCCCTTGTTCAGCTGTGAATGTCTTTCGTTCAGGTAATTTCGAACGCGATTGGCAGAGACTTTGTGATCGGAAATAATTTTAAGCATGCACCCCGGAACTTGGTTTTGTCGTTGCTGATAATCAAATAAGTAGCTACAGAGTCAATATGTGGTGACATAGTGAATAATCGGCTTTATGCATCTGATTGATGGTGTAGTACCTTTATGTAAGGAAAGTGATAATTTACGGTTCTGTAATATTCATAGCGAATAGACATTGAGGTCTTTCGAACTATTTATATTTTATAGTTTTGACTAGAGGCATTAGAAAACACTATTGAATACAATATGTAAGTACCTACCCGTACATAAACTAACCTAATTAAGAGTAGGCGCACACCGTTGATTTTTAGTTGGCCGATAGTTGTGCCCGATTTTAAATTGTATGAAGAATCGGCCAAATCGAATCGGCGTAGTGTGCGCACTCCAATACATGCCCATACTGATCAACTGCCCGACTAAACTATCGGCCGACGAAAAATCAACGGTGTGCGCCTACTCTAAGAATCCAAGATTCCAAAAATTATCTGTCATGTCAGCTATAATTTCTTTCAACAATTTTTTAAAACAGTGACATAATTAGAACAAATTTTCTACATCCAGAGCAAAGCAGCAGAGCATTATGAACATTATTTTAACTGAAACGAAAGCAATTCTATCTATATTTGATTAGCAATATACCTACGACATCCCTGGGGATAGACAGAGTTTGTGGACTGAGTTTTCTTCACAACTTTTCTCTAACTAATTTATATCCTTTGTGTAAAGGTAAACGTCCATTACATTTCTTTGAATTTCAAATATAGAAAATAACTGATTATCTAATAAACACACGAGTGGAGTGACAATATTACCTATTGTGTACTTTCATATTGCTAGTGTGTTGTAATAATATTACTAGAATAGCATATTTCAATGCATCAAGTTATGAATGTATTTAAGCAGGCTTTTTCTAACCATTGAGTAGCTATCTTCAAATATACTTACATAGTCAAGGATTATTTATCTATCTAAAAATGGTTTTTATTATTCCTGGAAATGCAAATAAATATCGTAAATGAAACGCTATGGCCTAGAGTTTGTGATTTTCAAACTTGTGCAGAATTTTCTAGGATCACTTCCCAGGAACACACCTACATTAAAATATTAATTTAATTTCGTTAATTGTTTCTAACATGTTATTTTACACATAGTTAACTAAGAGTACCTATGTATTATGCAACCGTGTCTAGCGTAGAAATACCTAAGTGTCATTTTGTAAGATACTCTGCCAGATCTTTTGTGTCAATGGACGTCGATCCTTTCCAGTCGCCAACTGCCCCACAGGGAGCGATTGGTCGCCAACTTATCTTCCAGTTTGATGTATGACACAGATCGCTGAGCTCCGGGATTGCTAGCATACAAGGTCGACAGCGTAAAGCTGACTTTAATTTTTTGTTATTTTAAACTACAATACAATAATAGTTGAAAATAGCACCTATTATTTTAAACTACAAAACATGCAAAATATTGGCTTCCATGGAGATATTGGACATAGGTACATTCCAATTACGTGAGCAATGGCGACTCCCAATAGCATTATTTCAGCCATAGGACGTCTACTGCTGAACAAAGAAATCTCAGCCTAGTCCAATGATTTTTGACGTTAGAAGCGGTCTGCATTCAGCGCTGTTATAAGGTCATCTGTCCACTTTGTGGGTGGGTTCCATGCTCCTATTATATACATTTGAAGTAAAATTCAATGATATACCTTTTAACAAGGCTGATTTACTAATCGACTTTTGTCTAAAGTCACATTTACAATTTGTAGTTAAAAGATTACCATCGTCTACGAGTTGGTACGTGTTATAGCAATTAGTAGAAGTTTAGCAATAATTATCGAGTTAGATCTACTAAGAAGATTATCTAGGAACAAGTTATCGACTCATATTTCGATTCATTCATATTAGAAATTAGTCTTTTGTTACCATAGCAATCTAGATCGGAGTGGGGATAAGACAAATCTTCAGCTTCACTGGCTTTCAATGGAGACTACTACAATCGTACATCCTAAAGAGAACAGCCAAACCAGTTCGGTCAAAATAGTGCGTCTTAATGAATAACGAACAAACTATACTTACGCAAGAGCATAGGAATAGAATAGTGTAGGTTGGAGTACGAATATCTTTTAACTATTATAGCATAGCCAAAAGATATTCGTATTTCTTCTCAGCACCATCCCATATGTTGTCTCGAAGTGGTGGTAGGATAAGCTATAATATTTGGGACTTGTATAAGTGCCCTGGTCTTTCCATGAATTCTATGTACTGAATAAACTTTCTTATTTAAATGGCTGTTGGTAGCGTTTGTTGTGACCAAGCTATATAGTGACCAATTTTGTATATGTTACAGGAAATGTATGAAATACGTCATTGTATACAATTCCTAGGAATTGTGTATAAGTCCTAAAATCACCCGCAAATGTGTGATGTAAATTATATTAGACACATTTCCTAGGAAAATTACACATTTCCTAAACAGCAATCGGAAATGTAATTAAGATATTTTTTTTTAAACAAAATTATTTTTATTACGCCACTTAGTCTAACCACAAGTCTAACCTAACTTAACCGAGACTTTGTTATCCAGCTACAGGAGTACTAAAACCTTCATGCCAATAATAGTTTAATAAAAGAGATGTTAAAATTAAGGATTTCCAATACTTCAGCGTACTATGCGTGATGCCGGAAGAAAGATACCTATGCCAATAAATTATAGGCAAATATTTTTTTCGGCCAAAGTATAATAGTGCGAAAACAACTGTCAGGCTAAACAATAATTATTGTGAGTTAAAAGTACCTATCGGCCAATGTGGTTTGGCTAAATGAAATTTTAGGCGTACCGAGGGGCACCCGATCATGCGACCGCGCTTGTGCCGCTTAGTTTTATATACATTTCCTAATATAATATTGGAATTCTATAAAATTCCTAGGAAAAGTATACATTTCCTAGGATATGTGCGTATTAAAAAATCTCTGAAGCAATATTTTATACATTTCCTAAATAGCTTCGTAATTGTATACATTTCCTAGGAATAGTATACAATTCCTAGAATTCATACATTTCCTGTAACATATACAATACATATCTTTACGATAGACTATGTTGAATTTGCATGGAATGCGTATGCTAAATCTTCCATTTGCCTCGGTAAATTAGAGAAGGCCGTGCTCCTGCAGATACTAAAGAACCTGATGATAATGACGACATTGTTGGACTTTTCAGTGGTTAATGGGACAATAACCAAATTCTGAGTAAAAATTGGTTATTTATTAGGTTTGCCGAGCTTTATTCGGTTCTTATAAGATTTTTGTGTCAGTCAACTTTACTGTATTGGACTGGCTGTTTTATTTGGGGTGTGGTCATATTTTAATCCCCGCAAACTAAGTAATAGCGCAGGTAATGACACAACATTGGCCGGCGAATGCCTAGTGTACCTTATTCCGATCTCAATAAGGTTCATAGTTGCCTGATCGACCAGCTTACCTAAAGTCAATCCGTCTTCAGGTCGCTTGGCTTCATCATCAGCTTATTGACAGTTACATATTGCTTTGTTATGTTCTCTATTATGTGTTGAGATTTCTCGTTTCTCTGACAGGAGCTTACTTCATAAAAATATCCAACAATTGAGTCTTATCGAGTAGTTTGATAGGTTTTTTGTATTGTTTTTTATCGACTAAGGCTGAGTTGCACCAACTGACTTTAACAGTAACTTTAACAATAACCGGTGTTTCTTGTGTGGAGTTTGACACATTTTTGGCATTTGTTAAAGTTAAAATAAAATGGTGCAACTCGGCCTAAGCGGCTAAAATTATTCTATTAATTTTGATCTTGTGCTAGCAACCGTAAACGCGTGAAAATCGCATTCCAAGTAAATCGTATGTTAAAGATCTCATTTACGCGCTTTGCGCAATAATTGGTATTACTAATCGAATTAAAATATACTTCACACTTTAAGTGAAATGTGTTACTAAACAGTGTTAAGTAAAATAAAAATAATCTTTCTAAGAAGTGCATGCTTGAATAAACTCGATTGCCCGATAGAAAGGATTTCAGACACACTTATCTACTTTCTTAGAGAATCAGGTCTAAAAGAAAACGTAGAAAACGTAGCGTGGGCAGGCCTCCTACCTAGGTGGACCGACGATCTGGTAAAGGTCGCAGGAAGAGCCTGGATGCGGGCAGCGCAGGACCGTTCATTGTGGAAAACCTTGGGGGAGGCCTTTGTCCAGCAGTGGACGTCATTTGGCTGAAACGACGACAGGTCTAAAAGACATTGTGCTTTAGAAAGGACACTTATCGGTTTCGATTCTTTTGTCAAGATAGCTATTTTACAGTATTAAGTCCAGCAGCTACGTACAGATTAACATGGATATAAGAAAAGTAAAATATTTATTACGATTTTCTTTGAAAACGTGATGGAAAGTTTTACATTAAACTCTGTTAAAATTACTGTAATATTAAAGCTACATCTTAAATTTATTTTCTAAGTATTTTGCTGAAAATTCGTTCTGTTTAGGACAAGTCGTTACACACTGAGGCTACCTGCTATTTACCTACAAAAAAAATACGTGGGCAAAAGAAAACAAAACTCTGTTTTAATACTTTTAATTGACTTAAAGACTAATATTTAATTAACCTATTTGCTAAAGTACATGCGTCTAAAGAAATCGTCATCAGCGCCACTGCGGTCGCCCAGGCGGCCCGCGCCCACAGACCCGAAGTCCAGGAAGCTGTTGTCCTTGATCTGGTGGGTCTGCGGCTGCCGCCTGTACTCTTCCAGGGCCTGCCAGTTCAGCAGCCAGAAGGGCCGCTGGTCCACTGGTAACTTCATCAGCTGGTTCACTAGATTAGCGTCGCCGTTCGCTTCGAGGGGTAAGCGCTGAGTAGTGGTGGAGACTGGAACTTCGCCGAATCTGGAAACAAATATGAGCAACTTTAGTTATTTGCGAGTAGCTGGTTAGCTGGCACGGGTGAACTTCGTACCACACTTTACCCTACCCTTCCCTACACTACCGTTCCTACCTACCTACCTACATAGCTACCTATACTTAGCTACCAATACTTAGTTAGCTACCTGGTTAGCTACCTAAACGTAGCTACCTAATTAGCTACCTATCTACTTACCTACCTACCTGCCCTCCTACCTACCTGAAGCTGACACTGCCGCTACGGCTGCCACTACCGCTGCCACTTCCACTTCCACTGCCACTACCGCAGCCACTTCCACTTCCGCTGCCGCTGCCACTGCCGTTACCACTTCCGCTTCCGCTGCCGCTGCCGCTTCCACTGCCACTTCCACTTCCGCTTCCGCTGCCGCTGCCGCTGCCGCTGCCGCTGCCGCTGCCGCTGCCGCTGCCGCTGCCGCTGCCGCTGCCACTGCCACTGCCACTGTGACAGGTTCAGTTAAGCGCGCCCCTTTGATTCACTCAGCATGCTCTCCTTTACAGGACAAATCACCCCACCCCATTAGTTCAGGAACTAATAACAACTGATAATAAGTTATTTGATAGATTAGGTATAATATTTTATAAGTAAAAGAGTTTTTTAAAAGTCTATTTGCAAAATAAAGGAATTATAATTTAGGGATTTTAAGTTTAGGTATTCTGATACGTACCCTTGCCACTGCCACTGCCAACTGATACCGCCATTGTCACTGCCACTGCCGCTGCCACTGCGAATAGCACTAGCACTTTCTCGCCAGTTAAACCATCCCTGAACTCTCACAAATAATTAAAAACAAAATTGCCAAATCGGTTCAGCCGTTCTAGAGTTTGAACGAGACAAATTATTTCATGAACGGCAATAGAGCGGCTCGTTGTTTATAGATCGTTTACTATCTACAAAGACGCGCCTCACCATTCTTCCGCGAATGTTTGAGTGTTATTGGTACACGCTTAATTATCAATGAGTGCACACGCACACTACAATAATGACGCTCGGATTGCTCGGATCAAACTCCCCACACCCCGCGCTTCCCTCGAGCAGAAATTAGTGGGGCGCGTCTTCGTGGATGAAACACCTATACAAGTAAGTTTAAGATACTCACTTTTATATGTCGCAGGTAGGTACTTATGTGGGAGTGCAAACGAACCGCAAAGCACTGAGTGAAAGAGAGCGAATGAGTGAGAGAGTGGGATGAGACAAATAAAGCTGTGAAAATGCCGAAATCGATTTCGATCCTACAGGTAGGGTAGAAGCTTAGATTAATAAAACCTAGATAGATAGTCAGTGCACGAAAGATGAGGCAGATTTTAGTGAGCCAGAATGGCTTACTCGTAAACGTCACATGAACTGTCAAAGTGAAAAATTGGTAAACACGTCCGACGACTTTTAATTAATTAAGACGGTTTGTGCTGTGAAAGGGTGTCTAAATACATCAGAAAAACTAAAGAAAGTGACCAGTGTTACATTTCATAAGTAAGTACTACGATTCGACGCGTATTTTGCTTGAATTTGGCTTTCAAAAATTAAATACGGGAATGATACCAGTAACAAGAAAATTTATTTCCCAATTGTTCGCCGTACAAATACACTTCCTTTTTTATGAAATCGAGTCTTTTAAGTCGATTTATCTTATTGTAATTAATTAGGTACTTTGAATTCAATAAATAAGTAAGTATATGATGCGTTTTGTTTTTGTTAGTTATAAAATAATTAAAAACGTATTAAAAATTTCCCTACTTTCGGGAAAATCGCCTTCACTGTCTACACTCCCCAACAAAATTGACACTAATGACATAAGATTTTTGCCTCACTCTTGACGAAGCGTTTGTATGAAGACTATCCATCTAGGTTTTATTAATCTAAGGGTAGAAGTACCACCTGCGGCCATCTACCACGACACCGTTTTTGGCCACTCTTTAACCATTAAGTAAAACATTGTGATTTTTTAAATTCTTTTTTATCTTCAGTTTTAATTATTAAAACTAGAATCTATGTCATAATATATGAAAACGTATATAGGTATATGAAAACGTATAAACTAACCTCAATACAGCTTGGAAAGTTTTGCCTGTATTCTTCAACACAATTTTGAAATTTTGTTCATCTAAAGTAGAAAGTAAGTTAGCCATGAATTTATTAATCCAATATTGCGTTATAAAGTTCACGTATACGCAGTAAGAATACCAATCTTCGTCGAAGTTATAAAATTAGTTGTAAAATTAATCTGATATGGGAAAACAGATCGCCTGGCAGCTGAAAATTATGGTCGAACAAAAAGCTTCAGGGAAAGATTCAACAAATTGTAAGTAAGTAGGTAGGTAGGTAGTTTACGCATAGGTCCGTAAACAACTGTACTATATTACATAGTAGTATAACTTAATTCTAACTCTACATGTTGGTGTTGGAGTAAAATGCAAACCACAGAGCACTGACGCAAACAGCAGCGCCCCCTAGAAGTCTCTCCTCTCTCTGTGCTCTGACGTATCGTTTATCGGTCGAATGATTTATAATATTAGTTAAAAATAAAAGTCTATTTATCTAAATCAGTGCTTTAATTTATAACAACAGTTGGAAATACATACAGTGTAATCTTTGTATTAGTAATTTCCTTATTAATTTGTACATTCATAACAACTTGTTTGTGTTAAATTAATGTATTCTGAGTAGTCTTTTAGTGTGAAAAAATCAAAATCAAAATCAAAATCAAAAAAATATTTATTCAGTTTAGACCACAAGTGGCACTTATGAACGTCAATAGAAAATAATAAAAAAAGAAAAGGTAGCCCTTATGGGGCACTTTACATGTCTCCTTATCTTTTGGGCCCTACCAGCGCTTCGAGACAAACATGTGGCAAGTGCTGAGAAGAAACGCCGGAACAAACTCAAATGCCATAGAGCAAGATGGAGGAGCTATTACATACGTATTAGACAATAAGCTAGAGTTTAGTTGTGGTTAAACAATTACCCCTTTACTAATAAAAGTTACATGCGCGTTGGACACTAAGGCTGGGTTGCACCATCTTACTTTAGCTTTGACAAAAGTAAAAAATCTGTCAAATTCCATACAAAAAACACCGGTTATTGTTATAGTTACGGTCAAAGTTAGGAGGTGCAACTCAGCCTAAGTATTACCGTGACACTAGTTTAATGACGTTTAGTATGGAAATGACAACGCGCATGTACATTTTATTTTGTAAGGGGTTTATAGACCAGGGTGGAGGTCAATTCTCCCCCATTTTGAAGATGGGGAGCAGTCAACAAAAGCGTCAAAATGACACACACCACACACCGTCACAAAAAGCTCGCAACAACATACCTGTCTCCCAAACCGCCCGTAGAGCTCGCTGGAGGCGCTGCGGTCGTAGTGGTCACGATCACTGGGTAGCCAAAAGGCCGCGAACCCGCGTACCCTGGCCTTTGTGCTTGCGTCACACTGGCCAGCGCTAACATGATGAGGATGGTTTTAGCCATGGTGGATTCTGGAAAATAATTAAAGAAAGAAAGAAAGAAAGAAAGAAAAAATATTTATTTGGTACTAAAATAATGATACACATTGACATTAAAAAATGAAATAATACAATTGTTGTACCAAATTGGTCTCTGCTCAGTATGAGGCCATAACGTACTCGCGAGCACGTTACGGCCACTGGTATTCTGCAGAAACCATGAGAGAGGGGCACTTGGCCCACAGCGAATGTTACAACTCACAACATATTAAAATAAAGAAAGGAGAATAAGTAGGTGGGTACATTATTTGTGCTATTTTGCGCTATGGAGCATCTTATAGTGAATATAATGTATAGTAACAATCCCAACTAATCTCAACTATCTCAACTAATATTATAAATGCGAAAGTAACTCTGTCTGTCTGTCTGTCTGTCTGTTACGCTTTCCCGCTTGAACCTCGCAACCGATTTTGATGAAATTTGGCATAGAGATAGTTTGAGTCCCGAGAAAGAACATAGGATAGTTTTTATCCCGGTTTTTGAAACAGGGACGCGCGCGATAAAGTTTTTCTGTGACAGACAAAATTCCACGCGGGCGAAGCCGCGGGCGGAAAGCTAGTAATAAATATGAGAGAAAAGATATAATTATGTGTGTATAATCATTTAGATATTTATATTATATACGTTTAGGTAGGTACTTTAGATATTCTTTTGTATAGATAATAGATGTAACTTTAACTTTACCTTGAAGGCTCTGACTGTGTCACTATTACGAATTGGTGGAAGATTTTGATACAAGTTTGCGAGAAACCACTGTTGTGCTACGAACCGGGTGATAAAAATCATTGGGAGAGGCCTATGTTTAACAGTGGAAGTCCAGTGAAATAACTGACTGAAAAGATGTTGATGAGAAAACTTCTATGAAGCCCAAATGAAGTCATCATGCAGAAAAAAAGGAGTTTGAATGTAAAAATCGACTTCCTTCTAAAGGCAAGAACACAAATACGGATAAATGAAACAGAAAAAACAGCTACTGATATGCCAAGGAAACGCTTTAAACGGGAAAACGAGGTAAGCACAGTTTCTTGAACAATATTTTTTACTTAACACCATAATAACAGTTTCCTGTGCACAGGCTGGGGATGGTCTCTGACTACATCCCATGGTACAGTCAGAGACTAGATCCAGCATGTGCACCACTTTTTCTTTCGTCGATTATTTTGCGCTTAAAAAGCTTTACGTGTTGGATCTGTATCCTCACGCAAGCCTTATAAAGGACCGGGCCACTTTTGACCCCTGAGTCCCAAAGCGTACAAATAATAATAAATTAAATGGTACTTACGTCAGAACCAAAGCACTGTTCAGCTAGTATTGACCACAACGTATCTTCAAAAAGACTAGTTCTGTAACACAATAAATAATTACACTGACCACTAATAGCCCAAGTCGTTATAACATGTTCACTGTTGCACCTGTTTCAAGAAAATGTCCACAAAAGACGAATCAACTTGTTGTTGATCAACAATCACTTTGACGGAGAAAGAGACAGATATATGCAATTAATTAAATACCTAGTTACCTATAAAAACAATGACGCATCGTGATGACGTCACTAAATCGTATCAGGGTGGACGTGCATTGGTTCGGTAGTTGGGTTTAGAATGCTCCGTATAAAATCGATACATCTGTTTTGAAATGAACATTAATCTCAGTAACTAAAGGCTTTCACGACTACACTCTCCATTGAATGGGGTCCCAAAGGCAAGAGACCTACACGGTTAATAAATATGGGTCCAAAGCTTATACGCGGGTTAACTTGCGTACTTTTTAATAAATTATAGCCTATGTTCTGCATTCTGTAGTTTTTGCATGAAGTGATAACAAACATCCATGTTATTATTCTTCGGTGAGTGTAACGCGATTCGTTTACTTCAAGCTAGTGGACGCTCACCTTAACCACGTGCAGGGGAATTTTGTGCTTGGCATGTTTATCGTAGGTAGTACACGTTCCACTATAATAAGTAAAAATAAATCCAACGCATTGAGGAAGGTCAGTGTCAAGAACTGTCTCTTCGAGAATATATTTATATCCACTCACTTAATGAAAAATATGCTTTCTTTGAATATTAAAGTCCTAATAATACCTATCATTGTCATCATCATTTCAGCCACAGGACGTCCACTGCTGAACATAGGCTGCTCCCAATTTCCAGATCGCCTAGATTCAGCGCTTTCCTGCAACCTTATATAAGTTCATCTGTCCACCTTGTGAGTGGACGTCTCGCACTTATGATAAAAACTATTAAGTTAAAAATAAATAAAATTGTAAGAGAAAATAAACCAAAATTTCTTGATACTAACAAAGTATCAAAGATTATGTTTAAAGCTTAAGTTGTCATAATGGTAATACTATAGAGTTGATTAATGTAAGTACATACTGAGAATTTCATTACGTTTGATATCTATCTTGTAATTAATTCAAATTGTTGTGTGACGCACAGTGACGGTAGTTAATTAGAAACTATAATTGTTTGTCAATTGTAATCCCCAGTAATTAATATTATAGGTGACTTATGCTAATTGAGAATTAATTGGTTTGGATACAAAACTTAATACCAAAAGCTGTATTCATAAACGATGCTTGCAGCCATTCTAACGCACAGCGTTGAATTGAGCTCTTTGATTGGTTCGTATGTGAGCCTGTGCGTCCACGAGCACTGTGAGACCTCATAGTAATGTTTGTAAATACGGGCGTAAGGCATTCAGTTAGTTGGAAAGTATCGACTTTTTTGACAGCTTAAAGGATAAAGTGTGGACAGTTTTGATTTTTTTTTATGTAAGAATATTTTTATACAAAAAATAGTCGTCTGTCTGATTTTCAGATGATTTTCTTCGATTAAGTAAATCTACAACAATATATTTTTATGAAAATCTGTTCAGCAGTAACTAATATCCATCCACCCATATACTCCTTAGTAAAGATAAGTGCCTGAAGGCAGTAAGACAATAATAATTATCTCCTTTATTCCGACCTAAAATCTAAGACACGACTGTCACGTAATCAGTGTAATGAATTTCTGGGACAAAGCTAACAACGTTACTGTATGTACTCATAATGTTAACTTGCTGGATCAATACGATAATAATCAACGATAATAAATACCCTAGATGTAACCGCACGTAGAAATTCGCGGTCCAAAATTGTATCAAAAGTCGCAAGCAAGTACACGCCCATAGTGAAAATAATAAGAACTTATGTTTCAGTATTCAAAAGTGGACCCGAAAAGACCAAAAGTGACTAAAACTTTTCAGAATACAAACAGGTAGCAAGCTCTTATAAAATGTATTTTTCACAGCTTAGATGCTCCAAAAATTAGTCCAGCTCTGTGAGTGCTTTTTAGAATAGAATAGAAAAACCTTTATTTGACACGAAAACACAAATGAAAATGAACAAATAAAAGAAGGGAAAAAAATTAAACACACAACATTACATTAAACATATCTCGTGCCAAAAAGGCGCACACGTGTTTCGACGTCGACATGGAGACAAAAAAGCTTACAGCGTTTAAAAAATATTTTTCTAGGCCACATTTTGAGGTTTGTTAGTCATCATCATCATCATTTCAGCCACAGGACGTCCACTGCAGGCGTCCCCCAATGACTTCCACATCGCACGGTTGGTAGCGACCTGCATCCACGCCTTCCTGCTACCTTTATCAGGTCGTCGGTCCATCTTGTGGGTGGACGTCTCACGCTGCGTTTTCCGGTACGTGGCCTCCACTCCAGAACCTTGCTGCCCCATCGGCCGTCAGTTCTGCGTACTATGTGCCCTGCCCATTGCCACTTCAGCTTGCTAATCCGTCGGGCTATGTCAGTGACTTTAGTTCGTTTACGTATCTCCTCATTTCTGATTTGACCTCGTAAATAAACGTTGATCTCATAAAGAACTCTCGTAAAGGTTTGTTAGTGTATCCAGGGTATTTAGCATCGTTGCGTATAATTAATACGAGCAGGCCAAAGAGAGCGGAGGAAAATTGCACATTTCTCACGTCAATCGTTTGTAATCAAATAACTCACAGCGTAATGAGACCCGGTGTTACAAGCACACGCTTATTCACATGTGTATGTTAGCGGTAATGATTATACTAATTCAGTCATTATAATGTTAGATCGTGACGTCATATACGTATTGTATGAAATAATCAATGCCAATTAGTCCAATATAAAGTAACAGTTAGTAGAGATAAGTGCAATAGAAAATTAGGAGTCTTGGCCAAGATTTGGATTTTGATCTTCCAGTGACTTGGCCCACTTTTAGCTTGGTCCAAAGCTAAATGTGGGCCAAGTCACTGGAAGACTCTTAGAACAGTTATTTTGTGTTATCGAACTTTACCTAAAACTGAAATACATACCTATCTAAACGTAGAATTAAACGATTGTGAATCTAAAACAGAAAAAAATAACTATTTATCATGTTGTGGGTGTTAAAAGTAGGTAGAGCTGAAGCGCGTATTGCCATCACTTCAAATAATTTTAATTTTATTAAAATAAACATAATAATCATGATCTAGTTAATTCTGTCATCACTTCAAGATTATCGCCCGTATTCACAAACAATGCTTGCTTAAGTGAAGCAGCAAATTGAACGCACAGCGTTGAATAGACCTCTGTGATTGGCTCGTGTGTCACCCTGTGTGTTCAGTAAATTTCTTGATGATTTTCTTCCTTCTATTTCGATGTTTGCTTTTCGAATACGGAAGTTAAGGAGGACGTTGGAAAATTGCACATTTTTCACGTCAGTCGTTTGCAATCGAATCACTTACTTTCGCGTAATGAAACGCCGGTATATAGTCTACCACAGCAGTCTGTCAATGAAAATTAGCCTCTATTCCAACTACATAAGATGTCCTAATGTTTGCCTTAGTGGTGTTGACTGTACGTACATTGACACACGGGGCACGAACGTAGGATGTGTCGTCGTCACAGAGTAGGAGACGGTTGTCATTTGTTTTTTTTTTTATTGAGGAAAAGACCCGTTCATGTGAATCTTTAAAAAGAAGTAAAAGCAAACTACTTTTCGAAATTATGTAATCAAGTGATTGGCACCTATAAACAGCCTTGCTATAATGCTTCAACTATACCAACGCGTGCAGATCGCCATCGCCGCGCCGGCGCGATCACGGCGCGTTCATAGGCCAATGACAGGTCGCGCGGACTGTCATGGGTCGCGCGACCTGTCATTGGCCTTTGATCGCGCCAGCTATGGCGATCCGCACGCGTTGGTGTGGTTGAAGCTTCAGAGTGACAATCAAATAGCTGACAGGCTTTACTCAGGACCAGACTCCTGAAATTATTATTTTCTGCCTACTTAAGTAAGCCATGTTTTACTTGGAACCTTTAAGCTGTAACTGTTAGGTCGTTTCAGTCAAATGACGTCCACTGCTGGACAAATTTCCACAATAACCGTTACAGTTTCGTTGTGGAAACAGTTAGGCACTTAATAAAATCCAACTACAAAATTAATTGAAGTTATAGAGTTTCAAGTTAATCGATTATTGCTTCTAACATGTAGATGACAAGCGTTTCCTCATTAAAATAATAAGTTTTGCGGTTTATCCCTCGAAGTTATGGCAGTTCCACACAAGGCTCTATTTGTTTTGAATGGTTTGATCTCGAGAATGTACAGACAGCCTTATTAGTTGTCATACATTTAACAAGTACAGGAATGAAATGAATGTATGTTTTCCAAAAAATAAATAAATAAAGTATGTTCGTTCGTTTCAGCCGGAAGATGTCCACTGCTGGACAAAGGTCTCCCTCAAGGATTTCCACAAAAACCGGTCCTGCGCCGCTCGCATCCAGGCACCTCCCGCGACCTTTACCAGATCGTCGGTAATGTATGTATTTGGGAGCAACTTGGTGACACCAAATCCTTACGAATTCCTTACTAATATTATAAATGCGAAAGTAACTCTGGTTGTCTGTCTGTGTCGCTTTCACGCCTAAACCACTGAACCGATTTTGATAAAAGGCATAGAGATAGTTTGAGTCCCGGGAAAGTACACAGGATTACGCGCGTAGGACGCGCGCGATAACGACGAAGCCACGGAGGGAAAGCTAGTAGCCAATAAGTTCGCAACACGTCTTTGTTACAATATTAGAATAAGGTTGTCAACTTTTCGCCCACTTCGGGTGACATGAGCTATTTGATGCTGACTGTACCTATTGTTGTAGCAATACACGTGCTGTAGTGATAAATGTGACGGATCAAAATACACGAGGGCGAAGCTGCGGCAAAAGCTAGGCCTAGGCTAGTTTGCTACCGTCTGTGATGGGTGTAGATTCATTATTTTCAACCGACTTCAAAAAAAGGAGGAGGTTCTCAATTCGACCCGTATGTTTTTTTTTCTATGTTTGTTATCAATTCACCTACTCCATATAACCTTAAGTAAAAGGAAGCAATTTTCGAAGAGTCGCTTACACAATCTACTCGAGGAAAGGACCGCGAATTTAAAGTGTGATTAAAATTTGGATCACGTCTTGAGCGGTAATTCACCTCGAATTCGGGTCTTGTGGGTATTTGTATGCTGCCGGCATTAAGCAACATTAGGCAGTTCAAAAAGTAACTTGATTATAATAAGACTCATTATAGTGTGACAGGAATAGCTATTTCAATTTGAGGGCTAATTTTCCATTAGCTTTTTTCCAAAAACGCTTACGTTCGTTTGACGATTTGGCCAGGGATATAATTTTGGGCATATCGTTTCGTCAAATAAAAATATAGTTTTCGGCATGGAACGTTTCATTTTACACTGCGCATATTGTAAATTATATTTCTATAGCTATTTTAGCATTTGCAATATAATTTCTTCTCTGTCTTGATTATTTTTCACTCTTATTTTCAATACAATACTTAATCGGCTGTTTGTGACGCCGCCATTTTTGTTCGCGATATTCATGATACACCCAGTGTTTAGTTGGGAATATCGTCGATCCACCCGACTTTATACTGGGCGATATGGCCGGCCAAATCATGAATTGTCGGTGTTTCACGATGTGCCCGGGCACATCATGATGTGGCCATTTCAACGATCGGCCGACGACATCTATAAAGGTACATCTTTGCTTTGGATTTTTTCAAACACAATAAAAAAAGTAGACGACTTTAGCAACAGTCTGAATTCAAATATTCCTGTTACGTATATTTTTATTCAGTAATATTTCCTTACTCAGATTTGAAGTAATAAACAATCTAAAGATGATTGCTAGAAATGATTGTCAGTTATTCCCCTGGGGTTTGGAAAAATAAAATAAATAACAACGGAAAACATTTTTTTAGAATTAGTAGGTAATTTTACAAAGTGGTTTCCTTTAATCGGAACAATCAAAAGTTTTGATTGTTTTCCTTTTCCTAAAAATGGGAAAGCTTTGTGAACAAATTATTAAACTAAAATTGAATAAGTTTTATTTTAAACAGAACACAATGAATCTTGATGTCTCTCTTTTCTGTATCGTAGCGTAAGTATCGCTTACACATACTTTTTTTTAACTTGTCCATTTTAAAAAGTCAGTAAAACTCATTTATTTCTGTAAGTAGGCTTTAAAAAAGCACTTTTACACGTCCCAGTATTAACCCTACCACTGCTTCAGGACAATAAATGGGCCAGTGCTGAGAAGAAGCAGCGCAAGAAACTCAGACACTATTGCATGATGCGAGTCCTTTTTAAATATTTTTTCTATTAGGAAAAAAACGTTTGATAATTTTGTACCAAGTTATTTCTTTCACACAACACGCTTAGCAACATTATTACAGCGTTGATGGAAATTTTGCCATAGTTTATTCGACTTTGTGAATGTTAAACTTTCCATTAAAAGTACCAACAGCTTATCAAGCTCGTAGAGCAGTAATTCCCAAATGTTTGGCTAGAAATGACAGTTTATCAAACTAGACAGTCAAACTAAAGCCAGCTGAAACTATTGTCAAATAAGTAGTTAAAGTAAATGTCACCTCAAGGAATTCATTTAACACAATGGCCACTAATTACACCGTTGTAAGAGCCTTATACAGGCTAAAAGGGAGATTTTCTAAAGCATCCTTCGGGGGATATTCGGGCTTACATCTAAGATAAAATTAAGTGGGGTTCACTTCATCTATACTAATATTATAAAGCTAAAGAGTTTGTTTGTTTGTTTGTTTGTTTGTTTGTTTACTTGAACGCGCTAATGTCCGGAACTACTAATCCGATTTGAAAAATTCTTTCAGTGTTAGATAGCCCATTTATCGAGGAAGGCTATAGCCTATACAACATCACGTTAATATCAGTAGGAGCAAAGCAACAATAAAAAATGTTGCGAAAACGGGTTTTCACGCGTACGAAGTCGCGGGCACAGCTAGTTGATAATATTAGGGACATCGAGCACATTTTGTGGAGATGTCCACTCAACTTTGCTTGCCGCGGAAAATTCTAATAAAGTGACCAGCTGAGACAAAAAAGGTTCTGTAGAATTTTAATTTGTATTTTAATATAACAGTTTTAGGGCTCCTGCTCCGCCGCGCCGTCGCCACGCCCCTACACTGTTCATACGCACCGAGTAAAGCCCGCCGCCGCGCCGCCGCCGCGCTGCCACCGCGCCATCAAAGCATAATTTCGCCAGCGGCGCGGCGGCGGCGCGGCGACGGCGCGGTTGCGGCGTCGTGTGCAGGAGCGCTTAAGAGCTTTGGTGTTATTAGAGCTGTATAACCTAGCAGTCGACTGCAAAATAAAACTATGCTATAATTACTTAGCTCTATAATAATGGTGCCGTCTGTACAGTAGGATTCTTCCTTAAAAAATATACTACCTAATACTACCAAGTGTATTCTTTAAATTTTATATTTGCGACTGATGTGATGAACGCCATAATATTACTCTAAAGAGTTTTTTATATTCAAAGTAACTAGAAAACTAATCTTGGTTATAACGTCATACGCTGGGGAGTCTGACACAAAGACATGCCCTTAGCAGTCCCATTTTGTATGTCAAACGCAAAGGGGGCGCAATCGAGCAAATCATTACACCGTCTTATCTATCTTTTGTTTTAAATTATAAAAGAGACCGTTTAGCAATATGACCCTAAAACGTTCTGCGTAGATACAATCGACCGCACATCAACCTATACTTTTTTATCGTAAAATCGCCCGTATTTCGTTTTTATTAGATACCTAATATATTTAGATACCTACCAAAGTGTCAAGCTTGATGTGCCGTTGTGCTCAATTCGTTGAAAGGTCTACGGAACTCCGTGCCAAGAGCCGTCCTTTACCCACAATGGCTTTTATTCCCAAGGAAGATTACGCCATTGTTATCATCTATGATACTTTGAAAGGGTTGAGTTTGCCAAAATATCAATATCATTCGGTATAGCGGATATTTGCTTGTTTTCCTCACGATATGAGATGTTGCAAAACAAACTTACCTACTCGTTCATAAATAATATTACTAGGTCCGGCGAAATTTGTACCGCCCATAATCGTGACGTTATGTGGCTTTGCTGATGATGGCGTATGGCGGAGTAAGGTTTTTCATTGTATTTTCCTACATTGTAATGGTTATCTTGATCTTTGGAGCGAAAACTAAACCAACAAATTAGCGTAAGGTCAAACGTGACGGTTGTAAATTCGAAAGGCCACCCCGGCGTTTTTTGTATGGATTTACTTCGCCCCGTAGGTATTTAAAGTTCAGAGCGATCAAAAAGTGATACTTATCTAGGACAGGGGGCAGATACCATTGAAATCAGTCCAGCGCGGTTCTGGAGTGTAATTCACATTTTTTTTAAATTTAGATTAAAAATTTTTACTTACGATTTAGAGATAGGTACTATTTATTGGTTTCAGCTACGTTTCACGTATTTTCTCGATTATCTCCTGAGGAAGTCGTGTGACTTTCTATAGAGTCAAAAATCCTACTAACGTTTATTTACCCTTACATAATTGTTAATCTCCCTTTCCATTCCATTTAGCACATATTCCATTCGCAAACGATCCTGAACCCCGCTAATTATGTGATTCATAGATATGGAACAGGGAAATCCTAAAATACCTGGAACGTGACCTGTTCCAATTAGCACATGCAACAGTAATTAACATGGAATTGTGATATTAATAGGCTAAAACATGGTAAATCTTGGAATAGCTACTGGGAATAAGCTAAGTATGATTCGATTATAGTATAAAATTAAACAACGTTACTGAAGCACAGTTAAGATGTACTTAAAGACACGTCGATCTTTTAAAATGAATGTTATTTTCGTTGTTTGTCACTCACTGGGTTTTCTTAGTACTTTAGTTATGAAAGGAGCATATTATGGTAATCCAATAATAAAGATTTCACAAACAAATGAGATTAGATATTTGCCACCCTTGACTGCTATCCATGTGTCGTACAAAGTTTTAGATAAGTAGATTCATTTATTCAGGTATAAGTATTATTTTATGTATTTATTTAAAACAGAAAATCTCTCACAGGTGAACTTATAACTTTTCACTTTTATTTGACTTTGTTTTAGAATCCTTCGTGAAAATCGTTCATATTCGTGATCACGACCTGCTCCTTGAAAATGTTCTTCATGAGGTGATGTGGGCAATACTCCAATGGTACTTCCACATATCCTGAAAATTATAATACGGATTATAAGTATAGGAGCTCTGCTATAAATATGAAAGTGCAGATGTTTTAAATGTTATATTTTATTTATGGTATGGTATAAGAAGATTATACATTTTGTAACATTTTAGGTATTAGGTATATAGGAATTTTTGCACAATAATAACTAATAATATTAATGATAAAAACTATTTACAAAATTTTAAGTAACTTTTATCAAACTACAATAAAAAATATTGAGAACCATTTATAATTTATCTAATAACATTTTTTTCTTATAATGGATTCGCTTGTGAGAGAGCAATTGAAATGTCTATAATAAAAGTGCAGTCGAAAGCAATTAAAAAGCGATTACAAACATGTCCAATGTCCATTAAGAGGTAACGGAATAATCATCAACTGCCGACATTCTATACAGATTAGCGAGTTAGGTCATCGAATTTTTAATGCACATCTTAGATTAATAAAACCTAGATAGATAGTCAGTGCACGAAAGGTGAGGCAGATTTTAGTAAGCCAGAATGGCTTACTCGTAAACGTCACATGAACTGTCAAAGTGAAAAATTGGTAAACACGTCCGACGACTTTTAATTAATTAAGACGAATTGTGTTGTGAAAGGGTGTCTTAATACATCAGAAAAACTAAAGAAAGTGACTAGTGTTACATTTCATAAGTAAGTACTACGATTCGACGCGTATTTTGCTTGAATTTGGCTTTCAAAAATTAAATACGGGAATGATACCAGTAACAAGAAAATTTATTTCCCAATTGTTCGCCGTACAAATACACTTCCTTTTTTTATGAAATCGAGACCTTTCAGTCGATTTATCTTATTGTAATTAGGTAGGTACTTTGAATTCAATAAATAAGTAAGTACATGATGCGTTTTGTTTTTGTTAGTTATAAAATAATTAAAAACGTATTAAAAATTTCCCTACTTTCGGGAAAATCGCCTTCACTGTCTACACTCCCCAACAAAATTGACACTAATGACATAAGATTTTTGCCTCACTCTTGACGAAGCGTTTGTATGAAGACTATCCATCTAGGTTTTATTAATCTAAGATACACATCTAAAATGCAAACTATTAACTAGGTTTACGTTTTATAAAAACTTCATGATTTACTTATACAGACAGACCCAAAAAGAGCGTGCCAAACTCGACTGATCTGAAATGGCTCAGAAAATTTGGCACCTTTTGCATAAATTTTCTGTATTATAAGTTCAAGAATTATTTTTATTAAATCTACCTGATTAATCGACTATTCTGTACCTGTACCTGGAACGACGATCTGGTGAAGGTCGCGGGAGGTGCCTGGATGCGGCCGGCGCAGGACCGGTCGTTGTGGAAATCGTTGGGGGAGGCCTTGCTTGGTCTAAAGCCCGGTCTGTGAGCACGTAAAATTTTGTCCAATGACCCCAAGCTACCCATCCTTATCGCTCGCGCGTAATTATATTGCTGTCGCGCTCGCACACTCACTGCGGGCGCCCGTCACACAGTCGCGACAGCAATATAATTACGCGTGAGCGATAAGGATGGGTAACTTGGGGTCATTGGACAAAATTCTAAGTGCTCACAGACTATAGCAGTGAACGTCATTTAGCTGAAAAAAACGAACCTGTATAATCATCCTCCCCTCGGCAGTTGATCATGTCCAAATAACAGCCGTTGTTGAAGGTCCTATAGACGTAGGACTTCAGCTTAGAAGCGCCGCAGACGGGGCGGTAGTGGCTCGGGCAGAATACCGGGCATGATTCCCCGTACATCTTGCGAGAACTGGATATTTGGTTTTGTATGCAGTATTTTAGAGGTGTTTCTGATAGTTCTGAAACATTTTTTTTATTAGTTCATACATTTTCCTACCATTGGGCGATGGCAGATGTGAGAGTAGATATATCTACAAGAAAAAAAAGACATCGTTGTATGACACTTTTCCAAATGCCAAAGTTGAAGTGGCAATGGGCTTGGGCAGGTCACATCCCTCGCTATACTGAAAACCTTTAAGGAAGAAAGAAAGAAGACGCCGCATAGGAATGCCATGAGGATCTAATATGACTTAGTCAAGCTACCAACAGAGCGAGCCACAGTCTGGGGCGGAGCCGCGAAAGAATGTCTAGGCCGTCTAGCTCGGACAATAACTCGCGGCTCCGTCCCAAAGACTTCGGGGGGACACCGTCAGGTTTTAGTGAGTAGGCCCTGCCCATCTGGCAGGGAGAGCCTCACATAACCCACTGGTTCCCCCGGGCCAGTGGGTATGCAATTTCATGCATTTCCTGACGAAAAAAAAAAAAAAAGATGCTAACAGTTCAGAGGCGAGAAAATATAAAAGAATTCGTGTTCGTAAATCTACTTTGTATCTGAGTACTTTAAGATGGTACATTATTTATTTTTAAAGTTAAAGGCGTAGTTGAAGAAATGGAGAATGAAGCTATTTAAATTGGCAATAAGCTGTGGCAGTGAAATGCCCCTGGTAAGTAGGTATAACAACGCCGTTGTCTTGTTGTTTCATACGAGTAGCTCAAGGGCTTCAAAAGTTACACGCACGTTGAACACTAGATTAGAGTGACACTTATTATGGAAATGCCATTTCATGCTAGAATTCAACATGCGAGAAACATTTTATCAGAGTAACATTTAGTTAGCATGTTTGATACTCGTAAGTTTACTTCAGGCTTAAAATGTGGCATGTTATAGAGCTCTAATATTTAATCTCATGTGCTAGCACAATATGTATAGATCGTTTCATCCACGATGACGCGCCCCACCAATCTTTGGTCGAGTGAAGCGCGGGGTGCGGGGAGTTTTATCCAAGCAATCCGAGCGTCATTATTGTAGCCGATAACACTGTTTGAGTGTTATCGGATCAAAGAATCAAAGAATTGTGGGGCGCGTTTTCGTGGATGAAACAATCTATATGACGTCACCGTAATATTGTTAATTCCGTCAGATTATAATCTGACGTAGTTAGATTACAATCTAACCTAACCTATCCCACTGTTAGTTTACAATCTCACGCGTTATATTATAAACTGACGGAGTTCACAATTTCGCGTTGACATATACATATCAATATGATTAGCAAGCATACCAACATGATGACACTCGGCATAGGCGTGCAGCGCGCATGTCCCTGGGAACATTTTGTACTCTCTCCTCTTGATGTCCAGGCCGCAGACCATTGTGTTTTCGGGGGGGCATTTTTTTGGACAAATTTTGGCGTTTGTTGCTTGTAATACTTAAACAGATTTTAAGTAAAGAGACAGATAATAATATCATTTTCGGCCATCGGCAGATCAAGATTAAATAACCGATCCGTTGGAATTCGAATTTCCCATGACAGTACAGTCCCGCAAAACTGGATTGTAGCGGAAAGGGCCTTAATTTTGCCACAAAAAAGTTACTTATGTTCTACTGGAAGTAAGTTTCTTTTTATTAAAAACTATCACAGTGAATGTTTCTTATATTATTAATCGTCAAAAGAGATGCTTTTTACTATTGAAAACTTTAAAACACTTTTTTTATTATAAATAAAGTCATATTTTACCCCATTAATTTCATAGCAAATTACCTATTGATCCAATTCCTAAAATATCGTTACCAACTTCTTAAAGTTTACAAAGATAATAATCAAAATGCTCACCATACAACCATATTGTCGTCGCAAATAGAATTACCATTTCTCATTTACAGCCAAATGTTGATTGACCGTAGCTCTAGAACACAATGGATTTATGAATAGAATCCAATTAAGATAACCCCTCGAACAAGCGATGTCAACTGGAAAATAAGAAACGTGGAAATTTCACGACATCCCTAATGAAATCGTGTTCATTTTTCCATTGAAACTAGCACAAGTGGTGTATTTGGTTGTCTAATTTGAAAATGAATTTGGGGAAGTGAGGAAAACAATACAGGAAAGCATTTTATACTCGTAGATAGAGCGTGCAAAATGGATGCATATTTTGGTACGATTGGAATAGAAATTCACGATTAGGCATCCTTTATTAGCATAACTAATCATAACTATTATAAGTACAGTCGCAGAATGAAAAGGTTCGTCACCTTAGTGTCGGTTTTCGCTTGCACTAGGTAGAGTCAAACCTGCCAACATAACAGGGCAAGAAACAGTGCTGCTAACATTTAAATAAATATGACGTTTGCTAACGAATAAGGTTTTGCTTGTTTATTTTTCTATCCCATCAGGGCAATGTTACAAAATGTAGTTTTTTTATTTAATAGATAATGGCAGGTTGAACCAACAAGAAGGTTTTAGTTTATCAATCATAATAATCTTCTTGACAAGTTAAATCGTCAAACAACTTTGATCTGAATAATTTTGAACTTTACTGACGAACAGTTAAAGATTATTTTCTCTAACTCGAGACTATTCTGTAACATAGTTTCAAAAGGTATTATGTGCTCGCGATACGTTGAAGGAATCAATTTGAAAACTGACGAACCTTTTCATTCCGTGACTGTACATAAAATATACTACTCTCAAAAATGGCTTCAGACCTATAACTGGTCCAAATAAAGGTTTTTAGTCATGGTATAGTAGATACACGATTGATCCAAATGTTCAATTGGTTATATGGTATTGCCGCTAGTAGGTTAGGGAATATTGATAAAAAAACTTACAAATATTTTTGCAATTATTTAAGAAATATAAATCTAAAATTCAACCAATCTGTCTTGAATCTATTATCATCAGATCATTCAGTCTTCACAGCAAGAGTAAGAATTAACCAGAGGTAAATAGAGGATTAAAAGCTTACACTCCCCACGCTTCTCTTGAGGGAGTGTATATCATAGTTGCGACAAACAAAGGTGCTACAAACGTAGTGGCGACAGTACGTTATGCCGACAATCGATGGCGCGACTGCACATTAGCTCGACGAACGTTAGCGCGACAGAACGATGGTTCGACAAACGAAAGCACGACAGTACTTTGGAGCGACAAACCCTAGCGCGACATTACTTAGGCTCGACAAACGATTGCACGACAGAACCTCCGATCGACAAATTACACTGTGACACAACTTTTTACTCAAAGACCTAAAGCATGACAAACATAGTAACAAGTTATTTAAAAAAATACCTATACGAGTATGTGGATGTATTAGTAATGTATAATAATAATTAGGCTTTAGGTTTATTTTTTAATTACATGTTTACTTTAAAATTAAATTATACCTACATAAACGTTAACAAAAATTTTATTGTATAAAAATGTGAAAGTAAACATGAAAGTTAAAAAAAAACCTAATTATGCATTATTTATTTATTTATTTATTTATTTATTTAAATATTTTTTCGTATAACATTAATGTGATTTAAAAAAAAATTAAAAATACAGAGAGTACATTTTTGTTAACGTTTATTATTTCTATTTTATAATTGATTTTATTCTATTTTTGTGTATAATTAAAGTAAACATGACAGTTTAAAGTTAAGTGATACATACTTATGGCACATTAACACTTAAGGACTCGCTAATGGGTCTAACGGACCCAGTACTTCAATTTTTGTGTAATAACTTTTAAAGTTTGACGTTTGCTATGTTGTCGCTCTTAGTACCTTTCCACGACATTGTAGCACAGCTAATAGCGGTCATAATCGTCAAATAGCCCACTGCATGTGATTGCTACAGACGAAAAATGTGTTTTTGAGTCCACTGGACCCGGTAAACGAAGTGAATTTTTTAATGTTTTATAGTAATTTCTCATTAATTGTCAATTGGTATAAGNATTTAAGGTACAATTCCAAGACGGGCCGCAGACCGCAAACTGCAACCGCAAACTGCAAAACTATGAAATCGGCAGCGCGGCATTGCAGCTGCGGCGTGTATACTGCAGATTTCATAGAGTTTTGCAGTTTGGCCTTTATCCGAAACTATCCGTAACTTTTGAATCAGTTTCGGTTACGGTTATGGACATTTTTTTATTTCGGATATCCGATAGTTTCGGTTACGGTTACGGATATCCATAACATCCCTGCTTGGTAAGATGGCCCTCTCCGTCCCGCTCATACCTTTTAAAATGGCTTCTCCACCTCACTTAAGCCAGAAACATGAATTTTGGGCACATTAGAATAATATTTTTAACCAAGGTAGATAAAGTTAAAAACGGAATTATTTCCAATAAACAAAAATTGTCGACAATTACAGCAAGATTTTACAAAGTGTTATACCATTTTGGAATCCTTACTAAATGAGCCAAATTATGACGTCACTTGCCACACTCGCGTAGTACAATTTTTTTTCAGTACAGTCAGTTTAAACTAAGCAAAATTTTTATTTTGATATTTTTTTTGGGAATAATGTATTTTTTTCATCCAAGTTGGAGCAGCTGGTTTTGTAATTTTGATAACAATTTAGAGAAGCATTATTCAGGGTTACATAACAAAAAAAAAATTTGGAAAAAGTGAAGATTTATGGCAACACGAGTAAAAGGACCGTCTCCTGAAGTAGAATTTTTTGATTTTTTTTAAATGCCTATTATTTTTAAAATATGCCACATAGATTTTTTTTTATATTTTTCTGATAACCAGCACAACTTGCCTCAACACCCAGTTCCGGCTTGACGTTACATTACGGGACACCCTGTATACCTATATTATTATGATCTTCTAGTTTTGTACTCAATCACTAGTCAATAGTTTTTACAAACTAACATACAATGAAAAACAAAATCGAAATGAAAAATATTTATCTTTATTTCTTTACATTTATTAAGTTAGTTCTTCTTTCGCTCGTTTTAGCTAAATGACTTCCACTGTTGGACTAAGGCCTAACCCAAGGATTTCCATAAAGACCGGTCCTGCGCTGCCTGCATCCAGGCTCTTCCCGCAACCTTCACCAGATCGTCGGTCCACCTAAGTTAGTTCTTACAAATCGTCAAAATGTCTTTAGATTCATCCTCCTTGTAGGAAACGTAGATTGTTAGGTATTTGTGCGTGCTCTACATACATACTATTCTCGTAAATATCGCAAAGGGTGCCATAAATGCCGTTTCTACTTCTCCAAAATTTATCGAGAAGCGATACTTTTTTGTTTTCTCATCGATTCCACGTCATTCGAGCTGAGCGAGCGATCCCTGGAATGATAATTTATTGGTTCCCTGGAACTTATTTACGATTACCGGGTTTAACGGGACAGCCTGGTATTTGATAAATTATCTGGCTGTTCTGGAAGTAGCATTTTTATTGAGTGGAAAATGCTTGCGCTTCCCATTTGGCCAAAGGGACAACGTTTTTTTAAAGAATATTAAATAAAATTCATAAAATTCATTTATTTTTGCAAATAGGCTTTTAGAAAGCACTTTTACACGTCCCAATATTAACCCTACCACTGCTTCGGGACAATAAATGGGCCTAGGCCTATGACAATATTAGTAATTTATATTGCACAAATTAATAATAGTCGCGTTGGCCCCTCGTACTAAGCTAAATACACGTATGCTTGTGTCACAAGTGGTCTCACCACAATAGTCGAGCGGCATCGGGGTTCGTTCCTCGGATCACGAATCAGCTAGTCCGACCCCGTTCGGCTATCGTGGCTTCAAACTAGGATGTTAGGGACTCTCAGAGTTTTTTATTTAACCAGCTTACGTAAACCAACCTTAGCTTATGTAAACTTAAATTCGTTTGTTACCCAAATGGCTTAAGACTAACGCTGAATTGCACCATCTAAATCTGTCAAACTCCATACAAAAAATCCGGTCATTGTCATAGTTACGGTTATCTAAAAATATGTAACTCAAAGGTGACTGACTGACAGACTGACTGACATAGTGATCTATCAACGCACAGCCCAAACCACTGGACGGATCGGGCTGAAATTTGGCATGCAGGTAGATGTTATGACGTAGGCATCCGCTAAGAAAGGATTTTACGAAACTCCACCCCTAAGGGGGTAAAACGGGATCCACGTGTACGAAGTCGCGGGCGGCGGCTAATTTATCAATAAATAGGATGATGATAAGAAATTATTATAATAAGGAACACCACGTTCTTCAGAACGATTTGACAAAAAAATCTTCAGCGTGTTACGAAGATTGTAAAAAATGCCTACGTAATCATTCTTCCTTCAGCAATAAATGGCCGACCCAAATGGCCCGTAATGGACTCCATTGAATGTTATTCAGGTTTAACAGGCATTGTGATGTTCTGGAATACCTAC